ATATTATACGTTTTCATTTTATTGTAATCAATGCTCACCAGAACTATTTATGATATTTTTACAATTGCTGTTCACTTCAGCTTTCGCAAACCAGTTTTACCTCAACTAAATATTTATTTATTCTTTGTTCCTTGTAGCCTCATTCGTTACCAGGCCTACGGCTCATAGAATTACTCCGTGTACACAGCGAGTGGGTGCGGCAGGTGTCGTACTACGTGTCGCTGCACTGCGTGGTCTCCTGCGCCACCTGCAGCGACTCGCTCCTCATGTGCGATATATACGGCTCCAAGACACACAACATGTTTAAGGTTGATAAGGTCCGTTTAAATTTCCTTTTCACGAATCAATAAAGCTCTTAAAACATGTTACCAAAATCTTGTTTGTCTAAAGAGTCACTTAAAGGGCCAGTAGAAGACCAGCCTACCTACCTACCTACCTACTAATACAATGACTTATTTTTTGGCGTGAAGTAAAGTTTTTGCTTCCTTTTTTTCGTTTTTTCTTTCTTTTTTAGTTACAGTTTCCATTTCCCATTATTTTGTTATTATAATAAAAGTGTTTAATTTCAGGGGATTCAATGTTTCGGATTTGATGAAGAGGCACACATATTAGTGACGGGAGGTCCAGACTGCGTGGTCCGTGTCTGGAACCCCTTCGTACCAGCTAAAGCCAATGTGTGTCTGTACGGGCACCACGCCGGCATCACCTGCATAGTACTGCAGAACAAAGGACATACCGTTTACTCGCTATCACGTGACAGAACTATTAAAGTGTGGGATATCCACAGCCACGCGTGCGTTCAGGTACTTGATATAGTACATTTTGTTCCACTAGTAGATTCAACCAACAATGCTAAAACAAGTTGAAAGCAACGCAATCTCATGGCGCAATAACAGCAACGACTGTCGCAACTCGCTGTCGTTGCTGCGGCAAGTTCCTCATTGAGGAGTGGCTTAAGAGACGCCACGAAGGACGCCGAATTCCTCCGAAAGAATTGGATAATTTTCCCCCTTAAAAATAAAATTAATTAATTAAAAGTAAAATGAAAAATAGTTTTATAGAAAAACGATAATATCGTTTGTAATTATAATTTTCTGTTGAAATTGCTGGTACATGTTGTTTTTGATAGACGTACATCGACATTCCTTCTATCCTTGGTGAGCGCACGCCTATATCTGCGGTGTACAACCCTGCTACCCGCGAGTTCATCTTGGCCTGTATGAAGATAGCCGTCGTAGCGCTGGACGAGCAACTGAACCCGCTGCACACTGACGGGTTCACACACGCGCGAGCTGTGTCAGCAATCCTCTACAATCCGTTGTTCAAAATTATCATCACACTCGGTATGGACAGTATAATAATCAATTGGAATCCATTAACAGGTAAGTAATACAAAAAAAAGGAAAGTCGTTTGAGTCTTCGGGCTAAACAAGGAATGATTTAAACCTAAAGGTACGTCCTAAGTCCTTATTATTGTTCAACTTGTCCAGGGAAACGAAACGTATTGATCCGTGACGCGCACGTGCGCGTCGTGCATGGCGAGGTGATCCCGGTGGAGATCACGGCCGCTTGCTTCGACCCAGGATACCAACTGCTGCTCACAGGAGCCAGGAACGGCGAGCTCAAGGTTCTTTAAAAGCACTCCTACGGCTAGACTAGTTTTCTAGTAATGGCCATTCAGCATTTGGGATGATTTCAGAAGTAACAAAAACAAACATTAAATTCAATAGAGTACGGCATAATTTACAATTTTTTGTTATATACTAAAATTTGAACTCTTTATATCGACGTCAAACTATTCTGATAATGTCCTTTAGATACAGTTATTTATTTCATTAAATCACGATATACATATAATATTTAGGCTAGACCCTCGATATTATCACCGTATTCTATGTCACAGGATTAAGTAGGTATCTTTTATGATTTTTAGATGGTTTAATATACCTACAATAAGTAGAAGTACTACAGTATAATATTGACTTACTTGTATTAATTTACTAGGTGTGGAACTTCAACACTGGTTTATGCTTGCGAGAGCTATCCATTGAGCACATGTGCGAAGTGACAAGTTGCTTTTGGGTGGAAGGAAGGTGAGTCATCGCCATCAACCGGAGTGCGGATATGTGACATGCGTAGGGTCTCTGAAACTTTGGTTATGAAATAGGTACTCAAAACTTTCAAAAGTGCCTAATGAATGAAAGATTCATTGAAATGAATGCTTTGACTTTCTCTTTTACCTTTGCAACGCTCCTTATGTAATTGGATCAACAATGGTGATGCTGTAATATAAGTAACTATACTGTGCTAGGATTTTGGCCATCGGTTGGAATCGTCACGTAATAGAGTTCGACGATACGGGCATGGCGACTAACGGCAAGACGTGGGAGACACGGCACACGGACGACGTGATGGCTGCGGCCGTGCGGCCCCCGCTGTCACTGGCCACCGCCAGCTACAACTCCGAGCTAGTGATGTGGAAGCTGGAGACTGGCCAGCCTTACAGGTAAACAGATTCATTACCAAAGCATGTATAGTGCACACAACCGCTTTAGAATAATAAATCAGTTATTAATTTTCCTTCACAACATTGATTGCTCAGTTGACACAGCAGCTGCGTAATTATACACATTGCAGGCGATTCTCGTGCACGGAGCCTACGTTACGTATCAAGATGATATACAACAAGCGAGACGCTATCAGGCCACCCTCTACTGCCGCCGCAGATAAGGGGGCGACATTACAGAAGAAGGCTTCTCCAGTGCGGAAACATTCAGGGTACGTAAACAAACAATAATTGTTGAGTACCTATGTTGCCTTTAATGTCTACTTGATGGCTTGTTCGTCCGCGAGTCACTTAAGGGGCCCGTAGAATACCAGCCCAAGGCCCTGTCTTGCACATACTGAACTGGTCCCATTTCACGGCAGACTTGGGACATGAACATATATATAGATATATATGGATATATGTTCATGTAGGATACTGATGGCAGTACCTACCAATACAATGACTTTTTTGTACATGTCAATTCAAAATGAAGTTTTTTCTTCCTTTCTTTCTTTCTTTCTTTCTAAATAATAGAGTTGAATAGAATCTGACAATACAGAAAAGAGTAGGTTGACTGGAGTACTAGTTATGAAAAAGTCAACTGGGTGCCTAGTGCGAGTTTCTTCTTTGATTCGATCGTGTAATAAAGTTAACTAACGATTAGTGCGCTGTGTCGTGCAATTGTGCGTACTGCTAAGGAGTGGAGTTCTTTGCCAGAATCTGTATTCCCTGAAGAGTAACCATAGCCATAACCTGGGTGTCTTCAAGGCCCGAGTAAATAGGTTGCTTATGGGATGACCGCTGACGTGCTCCATCGTAGACTACATCATCACTTACCATCAGGCGAGATAGTGGTCAAACGTCGGCCCATCAAATACAAAAATAAATTGTGTGCATCTTGCGTGTACGCGACGTACGGCCTGTGGATGTACGCATATACATATACATATACACATACATACATATCTACACGTCCCGGTTGCTTGTAGTACGGCAATAAAGTAGTATTTGCGTGTTATAGGCGGATTCTCTAAGATGTGCATCTAAACATGAATAGTTTAATACACTCTAAATTACTTATTATGTTTGTGACCCAGAACGGGTGGCTATCGTGACGACGTAGACCCGGAAATGGCCATTAAGAAGGCAACCGCACGGCGCTCGTCAACAGTGACTATGCCGATCCGCGCACAGACAATGCGCCAACTCGCCGTGCACGCCATGGTCTTTCTAGAGACTCGACCGTACCATGCACACGTCGGTTAGTTCAATCTTTAAATAACTTTTTATGTATGTTCTAATAGGTCTTAATTTAATTTGTACTTATATTGTTTAACACACTTTTATAGCATCGCTGATGCTCGCTTTGGAGAATGGTCAAATACAGTGTTGGTCGGATCACTCAGCGGGCGGGATCCAAGGATCATTCCACGCCGTCCACTCGTCGGGTGACTACGTGTCCTGTTTGGCCACAGATGTCGCTAATGAGTTCCTATTCACCGGTACCACACAGGGATACATTAAAGTGTGGCTGATGACCAACTACCTCACGAACACAATGGTCAGTAATTCATGGAGTTCTACGTTGATCTAGTTTTTGTATTCTAAGGAGTAAAGACTGAATGGGGTAGTTGACAGGTAGTCAAATTCAATACTTTTATTGAAATGTCAAAAACGATACTGAATTTTGTATTGGATCGCAACTTATGACGTCATCATATTTCTGCGTCATAGCATACTTATTTATTATCTTAGAATTAGCGAGAAAAAAATCCAAAAGTAGATAAATTGTCAAATCAATGGATGAAAGTATGATTATTTTTTAATTATTAATTGCACTGAAAAGTTGAAACTATTTATTTTAAACCTAGGAAACTAGCCAATTATGTGAAATTATTACGTAGCTTTTTGCATGATACGCAAATGATAGCTTTATTTAAGATTACTTAAGATATATTTAATAATAATAATTAATAATAGAATTACATGCCGAGGTCATTCATACTTTAGAATATTTTAACTGATGGTCATATTTCAGATCCGAATATTAGGAAACTCGAAATTTGTTGATCCTCAATTACTTATTTGTGATGTCTTACCACTGCCATCGCAGCGGTAAGTCCCCTCTTTGAGGAGTGGCTTGAGAGACGCTACGGCGTCCTCACCTACCGCCTGACGCAGGTCCTCACCGGACATGGAAGTTTCGGGAGGTACCTGTGTCTGATGGGGCGGGAGGAAACGCCCGGGTGTCATCACTGCGAGGACCGCCCTGAGGACACGGTGGAACACACGGTGGGAGAATGCCCTTCGTGGGCTGAGCACCGCCGTGTCCTCAGGGAAGTGATCGGCGATGGCGACCTCTCGCGTCCGGGCCTAGTGCAGGCCATGATGCGGAGCGAGGGGGATTGGGATGCCGTCTCCTCCTTTTGCGAAGCAGTCATGCTAGCTAAGGAGGAGGCGGGACGCGTGAGGCAGCGAAGCGCTGCCTCCTCGCAACCCAGCCATCGCGAAGGACACACCGGGCGTCGGGGATCGCGGGACGATCTCCGGCCACCGTAAGCGCGGGCCTGCGGACGGCGAGCATGGGTGGCTCCCCGTCCGACCAGAAACAGACCCGAGCGTACGGCGCGTCGCGTTCCGCGCGCGCCTCAAAGAGCCATCAGACCACCACAGATGGGGCCCAATAGGGCCGATGCCGATTCGGAGTCGCGGAGAACCTAACGGGTAACCGGGGCTCCGGCTCGACGTGCAGGAGAAGGAACGGGGTGGTTTTTAGTCAGTAAGAGTCTGACACTCCCTCCCGCCTCACCCAGGCGGGAGCAGTCATTCGATGATTTTCCCCCCTTAAAAAAAAAAAAAAAAAAAGGATATTGACTAATAGGTAGTTAACTAAATTAATTTTACTGTAATGATAGCCTATATTGTTTTAAGTGTATTTGTTTCACTATATAGCTTATATAGCACCACGCCTGTCGGTACAGCCAAGATATGCATAGAAAGGATTTAAAACGTTTTTCTGTTAGGTTCCGCTGTTTGCTCACCTGCGGATGGCGTCCACGCAGCCTGTGCGGCGCCCGCCTACCCCTGAGTTGGTACGCAAGACTCGACTGAAGCGCCAGTTGAAGAAGGCGCAGCACCACGACCAACCAACTACTCAGTTCCAAATTAACGCACCGGTACATAAAACATCAATCACGACACAGCCTGCAAAACGTGCGTCCACCAGTAAGGCCGCGAATCCCGCGACCCGTACCAGTTACGATAATTAATGTGAGATCACTACGGAACGACAAGAATATAATAATAGTAGAGTGTATGAAGGCAAATCTTGCCGAAAGTAGGTACAATATGTCGATGCGCATTAAGAACTTCGTAGTAGAAGTGTTCCGGTTGACGCCTAGTTAGGGGCAGCGGGCACGCTGATGCTGACGTGTGCCGCGAGCGTAGGCGACATACACCAAGTTGTATTATTTGTTAACGTCATTAGGGATGTCCCTACTCTTATCTTAAATCTTTAAATTAATTCTACTATCATTTTAATAACTTTAACTTTTATTTTTAGGGAATAGTAGGTATCTAATAACTACCTAGTACCTACCTACATATTTGTTAGGGGTTTATTAATTAATTATGTTTGTATATTTTATCAGGGACGTGTTACTGCTAAGTTGCCTGCTATAAACTGTTTACTGTTTTATTAGATACTGTTACTTTTAATTACCATAACTTTTATTCTTTAATTACTTATGTGTTTATAATAATACATTTAATATAAATTTTTATTAATTACCAATAGGTACTAATATAATTAAGCTCTGTATTATGTTCAGCATGTGTACTTTTAATAAACATGAAACAACTACATAAGTAAGCAGTTTCAATGTATGTAAATGTTGTAATAACCTTCGCCTACTGTAGTTCGAAAACAGATAGGTACATCACTTCCATATGTGTAATGTGACGCCGGTTCGATTCTCGCATGGAACAACTCTTTATGTGATCCACATATTGGTATTTCGGGTCTGAGTGTCATGTGTATGTGAACTTGTATGTTTGTAAACGCACGTTGAAGGAACACATCAACATGCCGCGGCTCCGTCTGATGTTCCCGTTCCTGTGGCGTGACCGCATCGAGGGTCGCGCCAAGCGCAGTGTGCGGGACCAGCCCAAGCCGCTGCTACTGAACAGCTACCGCGCACACCTCCGCTGTGTTACTGTCATCGAATATGTCGATGAGCTTAAACTTCTTTATACGTAAGTCGTGCCTACAGAGGTATCTATCTATCAATGAACCACAACATTTCTAGATTCTACTGATCCGTCTGCTCGTTCACCGTTAACCACGACCACGTTCACCGGTTATCAAAGGTTTTGTTTCGTATTTTTTGACGGCCATAAGTTGTACTATAAGATATTTCAAGATTATCCATTAATTACGCCGGACGGACGCCTTGTATAAAATTGCTAATCTCTGAAATTACTAAAGACTAAAAAAAAATGTCTTATTTACTTAAAATAATTTGATGATTAATTCCTTATACTTTTGAGCTAGCGGCAGTTCAGACTACAGCGTTCGAGTGTGGCGTCTGTCAGGCGAGTACCTGCAGACACTGGGGAGCTTCCTGCCGTGGACTCTGGAGGTGACGCGCTTCCCGCCAGACGTGAAGAAGGTCGCCAGCTTCACCACGTTCAAGGTGAGCGCCAGCCGGTGGCAACACGCCGCGTCACAATGTGATGAGGGCGGCAGTGAACCAGTGCGTGATGTCTGCAGGTGTGGCGCAGTGGCCAAGTGTCGCGCTACGTGCCGGGGCAGAAGGTGGTGGACAAGCTGCGCGACATCACCGAGCACGAGCTCAAGACCAAGACCTTTGGCGAGGCACCGAACGAGCCGTTGCTTGGGAAGTACTACGCTCTACCGGTCAGACCTGAACGACAAGATAAAATCGTACTTGACGACTCATTGACAACGGTTAGTTGCGCTAAGTCACCGTATGTCGTATAATAATAGTTTTGTACGTTCCAGTTATCGATAAAGTTTAAACTGTAGGATATTGACTAATAGGTAGTTAACTAAATTAATTTTACTGTAATGATAGCCTATATTGTTTTAAGTGTATTTGTTTCACTATATAGCTTATATAGCACCACGCCTGTCGGTACAGCCAAGATATGCATAGAAAGGATTTAAAACGTTTTTCTGTTAGGTTCCGCTGTTTGCTCACCTGCGGATGGCGTCCACGCAGCCTGTGCGGCGCCCGCCTACCCCTGAGTTGGTACGCAAGACTCGACTGAAGCGCCAGTTGAAGAAGGCGCAGCACCACGACCAACCAACTACTCAGTTCCAAATTAACGCACCGGTACATAAAACATCAATCACGACACAGCCTGCAAAACGTGCGTCCACCAGTAAGGCCGCGAATCCCGCGACCCGTACCAGTTACGATAATTAATGTGAGATCACTACGGAACGACAAGAATATAATAATAGTAGAGTGTATGAAGGCAAATCTTGCCGAAAGTAGGTACAATATGTCGATGCGCATTAAGAACTTCGTAGTAGAAGTGTTCCGGTTGACGCCTAGTTAGGGGCAGCGGGCACGCTGATGCTGACGTGTGCCGCGAGCGTAGGCGACATACACCAAGTTGTATTATTTGTTAACGTCATTAGGGATGTCCCTACTCTTATCTTAAATCTTTAAATTAATTCTACTATCATTTTAATAACTTTAACTTTTATTTTTAGGGAATAGTAGGTATCTAATAACTACCTAGTACCTACCTACATATTTGTTAGGGGTTTATTAATTAATTATGTTTGTATATTTTATCAGGGACGTGTTACTGCTAAGTTGCCTGCTATAAACTGTTTACTGTTTTATTAGATACTGTTACTTTTAATTACCATAACTTTTATTCTTTAATTACTTATGTGTTTATAATAATACATTTAATATAAATTTTTATTAATTACCAATAGGTACTAATATAATTAAGCTCTGTATTATGTTCAGCATGTGTACTTTTAATAAACATGAAACAACTACATAAGTAAGCAGTTTCAATGTATGTAAATGTTGTAATAACCTTCGCCTACTGTAGTTCGAAAACAGATAGGTACATCACTTCCATATGTGTAATGTGACGCCGGTTCGATTCTCGCATGGAACAACTCTTTATGTGATCCACATATTGGTATTTCGGGTCTGAGTGTCATGTGTATGTGAACTTGTATGTTTGTAAACGCACGTTGAAGGAACACATCAACATGCCGCGGCTCCGTCTGATGTTCCCGTTCCTGTGGCGTGACCGCATCGAGGGTCGCGCCAAGCGCAGTGTGCGGGACCAGCCCAAGCCGCTGCTACTGAACAGCTACCGCGCACACCTCCGCTGTGTTACTGTCATCGAATATGTCGATGAGCTTAAACTTCTTTATACGTAAGTCGTGCCTACAGAGGTATCTATCTATCAATGAACCACAACATTTCTAGATTCTACTGATCCGTCTGCTCGTTCACCGTTAACCACGACCACGTTCACCGGTTATCAAAGGTTTTGTTTCGTATTTTTTGACGGCCATAAGTTGTACTATAAGATATTTCAAGATTATCCATTAATTACGCCGGACGGACGCCTTGTATAAAATTGCTAATCTCTGAAATTACTAAAGACTAAAAAAAAATGTCTTATTTACTTAAAATAATTTGATGATTAATTCCTTATACTTTTGAGCTAGCGGCAGTTCAGACTACAGCGTTCGAGTGTGGCGTCTGTCAGGCGAGTACCTGCAGACACTGGGGAGCTTCCTGCCGTGGACCCTGGAGGTTGAACGCATGTCGTAACATAGGAGAAAATCCTAGAGTGGGGCAACGGGGCCAACCGCTTCGAGCTCACCTCGAGAGTTCGAATTGACATCTTACAGAATAGTCTGGCTATACTTGTAGTGCTATTTCTGATTATGGTAGATTCATCTCGAAAGTCATCTCGCAAATCACCTCACAATTTACTTTTTTTAAAAAGTAATTAAAATGCCAAGTCCCCAAGAAAAAGCTACCCAAATGTCGCTGAATCCTGTCCTATACGAGTACCTATATTATTGTAGACGACATGAGATGAGGTGCGATAGTTTGTAGAGGGTTAATTGTACAAATGTATATTATGGATTTGTGCAAATATGTGTATGTTTGTAATTCTTTAACGAAAAAACTACTAAATGGAACTGAATTAAAACATCTATCTATAAAGATACAATCTTCATACGGACCAACCTTTTTCTTATTATTTTATTAGTTTTGACCATAGATATATAACAGTTTTGACGAGTTGTGTTATCAATGTTAATTTTCAGATTGTAATTCTTATGACATTTGTAGTTACATAGATCATTTTATTTTAAGACATTGTTTTCATATTTTACGATTTATATTATATTTGAATTAGTTTAAGATAAAGATGGAGGGTGAATTAGTGAGATCTAATTTGTCATCGACGTACTCGGAGGGCAGCCCGACGGCGATGAGTCGGCTACCCGGCGGGTACCGCAACGTCCCGCTGCACGACAAGTGCACTATCGAAGACATGCTCAAGATGAAGGAGGCCTTCAGCCAGGCTTACAACAACCAAATGGTGCCGCTTGAGTTCAGGGCCGCGCTCAGGAGTCTACTAAATGTGGAGTACGACGATGAGGAATTTAATATACTTTTCTTAAAAGTAAATATTAAAACTTATTTGACTAACAAAACTATGGAGGTACACTAGGACACTGGTAAGTGTCCACACACCACACACACGGTAGGTGAGTAGGTGCATAAGGAGTTCAGTGCCCTGAACCTCGGTACTATGGATGGATACCTATACCTATTCCTACCTAGTGTCATTAGGCTCAACTACAATATTGTGAAAAGTCCAATGTCTTGTTATTATTTACTCGGTACACAGTGAAACAGATATAGGGACATATCTTCAATGTTTATTCGTCTCAATTATTAGATGAACACAAGTCGTACGGGAAATGTCAACTGGGACGAATTAGTGTCACACTTGATCCTCGGCTACTTCGGAAACGATGCAGAGAACCAGCGGGAATCCTTGCAGCTGCCCATCATGGGGCTGCCCGTCATCATGCGCTCGCAGCACAGGCACCCAATATCTAGGATATGCTTCTGTCCCGACGTCGACAAGGTGATTATTGGAATTTAAACTAGGCAGGTAGTGTCATCATTATCAGCCATAAATAGTCTACTTCTTGACGAAGCAAAACTACTGGGAGTAGAAAAAAGGGAGACCTGTTATTAATTATTATGTTTCTTAGCTTACTTACGTAATTATTTGACATTCAATAGCAACGCGATAGTCGCCGCGGTACGAAATGCTGCTCTTGAATATGAGCCTCTAGAATGACTTGAAACTAGTCGAGGGCCTCGTGACTAAGCCGAAAAACATAATAGTTAATTGATTTAGTATGTCTCACGAAAATTATTATATATTAAAAAAAAATCAGCTGCCTGTGTCTCGGCTTCCCGCCCTGTGATCATCATTGATGTCAACATCAAAGTGCGTAAAAGGTGTCTCTAACGTCATCACTGGCAGCAGACACGTGTGTACAGTTAACTAGTGTCTGGAAATAGGTGTTCAATGTTCATGATACTAGTATATGTATAGTTCTACCAACTGATAGTTCTTATGATTTTATTGTCCACACTCACCCCGCCCCGCTGGTCAAAAGGCATAGTAACGATCCATCAGTATTCCGAATAGGGAAGGCTAACGTCCAGGCATTTAAAATGATCTTTTAGGGAACAGAGAGTATAGTTCCCTAAGATCGGAAAAGGAGGATCCCCCGACCAGGCGACGTGATCGTGCCTGGCGGGCTTTCTGCCCAACAATTGTTCGTTGGGTTTTTCTATCCGTGTTTGTTCGCTTGTGAACTTTGCATGTGCGATGTAGGATTCTTGTGACGTCATCCGTTGATTTGTGACATGTGTCGCCACAATCTAAAATATTTGTGTTACGCCAACAGGACCGAATAAAGGATCCGATGCAGGGTATGTACTTAACGGCGAGCCGCGACGGCATGGTCAACTGGTGGTCACTGGACATGAAGCTGCTGAGGACTGCCTACTCCTCGAGCCGTAAATAGACGAATCATACTATTGATCTACATCATAATTTAGTGATACATATTTGTTATTAGAGCACTATCTCTATGTATGGGGTTATAGAACAGATCATTTCCAACATTTTTGTCGAACAAAGAGATAAAAGCGGAATTTAACAGTTTGTAGTCGTGTTCGAACTGTTAAACTTCAAGACTTTCTAGTATGACCTACCTACCTACTTAGGTACCAACTTGCCTTTCATGCCCCGTATTTATTTTTATTTGTGTAGTAAAATAACCATCGTTAGACAATACTAAATTGAGTGAATTATACGGCTTACTGATTCTGTTAATTCTGTCCCACAGCTCATCTGAAAGTCCGCTCAACGTGGGTGACGGACATGGTGTGCATGCCCGACGTGAACATTATCGTCACCAGCTCCACCGAGAGAGACCTGCGCTTCTACGACTGCATTGCTAAAACTTTTACCTTAAAAATAAATATCACCAGCTGGGATTACATGGTGAGAAAGAATTATTTCTACGTCTTTCTCTCTCACTTACTCTAAGTAATAGCATCCCGGCGGGCTTCATATTAACGTAGATATAATTCACAGATCTGCACAATGTATTATCGCTTCAGTACAGACATTAATGAAAAATGCATGTTAGTCTGCGGTGACGTGGGGGGCAACGTGCGCGTGCTGCTATTCTCGCCAGTTCTACGGGGACCCTTTAGGAATGAGGCTGGTCGAGCCTTAATATCATTGCGACACGTGGATCTGCAAAGACGGGTGACTGTTTTATTCCAATTTTATTTATTTGTATATTTGTACCTGCTCACAGTTCAAGGTTTCTGAACATTTATCAACGATCAACATTGGTTGCAGCCTAAGATGCTACCAGAACTACAGTTAGTAGATCTAGGGCGTGTACACAGCGAGTGGGTGCGGCAGGTGTCGTACTACGAGTCGCTGCACTGCGTGGTCTCCTGCGCCACCTGCAGCGACTCGCTCCTCATGTGCGATCTATCCGGCTCCAAGACACACAACATGTTTAGGGTCGACAAGGTCGGTACAGGTTCAACAATTTTAACATTTTCAAAGCTAGTGGTGCGCAGCGAATTGTTAATGCGCATTAGTAACGTAATATGTAGTATTGTACAGTCCAAGTCAGAAGTGGACTAGCAATCTCACAAAACTATGGCACAAAACAGGGTGACTCGTAACTCGACGTATTCCTCTAGGGAGGTGATAATACAACTAATTTCCTTCAAAAATAGATGTGAGGTTGCTAGTCCGAAAGTGGCTAGTTTCTGAGATATTCAACATTTTGGTTTTGGTGAAAAAATCCCGATCTAACTACAAACACATCAATTGATAAAAAACGACTGGTTTGATTTAAGTGATTTTCGTGTCGATTTTTACATGTGGGCGCATGAAGTCTCTTGTTTATGCAACGCTAAATCCGTCTATCGAAATCCTTCGCGAAATAATAATTGAAGCGGCTGAAGAAATAGACGCTCATTCAGTTCAAGAGTTTTAATTTATTTTTAATAATTACATCACTAAACATTTATTAATACTAATACTTTCAAAAATATCATTCGTTTTAAAAATAGCAAGCAAATTAGTTAGTATCAAATTTTGTTTTCAGTCACAAATTTGGCCAATGGGAAACTGGATGTACACTAAGCGTACGAACTATTAGAAAAACTTCCTTCACTTCCCTGGTTAATTAGCTACTCAAAAACAATAAATTATTATCAATAAAATTCTCAAAAATAAATTAATAATAATTTTACTTTCTGTATCTTCCTCGATAAATTCATTATCCAACAAACAAACAAACATAGTTTCATGTCTATATATTAAAAATAGATTGGTGGATCTTTTATATATGAAATGTACCTTTATAGGGTATTCAATGTTTCGAATTTGATGAAGAAGCACACGTGTTGGTGACGGGAGGTCCTGACTGCATGGTCCGGGTTTGGAATCCGTTCGTGCCGGCCAAAGCCAACGTGTTGTTCATAGGACATCACGCCGCCGTCACCTGCATAGTACTGCAGAACAAAGGACAGACTATCTACTCGTTGTCTAGAGACAGAAGTATCAAAGTATGGGATGTACAGGGGCAAACGTGCCTTCAGGTAAATCTTTGGTGACACGAACTCTTTAAAAAGACGACGAATGAAGATGTTTAAGTCACATGCCAAAGTCACATAATATACTAATAATATACTCTAATATCTTTCTCTCAGAGATTATGTGGGCGTAGTCATTAAATTAAATAAAGTTATATTCGAAATCCGTAAGTAAATCCTCCGTGTGAAAATAATGAGTATTCATCCACCGTGGTCCACGCACTCTCGTTCGCAGACGTATATCGACATTCCAGCTGTGTTAGGTGAGCTTTCGCCGATATCTGCTGTGTACAATCCTGCCACCAGGGAGTTTGTCCTGGCTTGCATAAAGATAGCTGTCGTAGTGCTGGACGAACAGCTAAACCCGCTGCACACTGACGGTAATACCCACTCCCGAGCTGTCTCCAAGATCCTGTACAATCCACTGTTCAAACTGATTATTACGTGTGGCATGGACAGCATCATTATTAACTGGAATCCGATTACAGGTAAGTTCAAGAGAATTTACAAGAAATATATTTTGTACCACTGTGCAACTCTACCTACGTCTTTAATAATTATTATAAACTACATTACTGTCTTATTACTGTATGTACTTATTATTTACTTATGTAAAAGGACATTAGAAATTAAAAAATGAATCTATCTAGGTAAACGCAACGTGCTGATCCGCGACGCGCACGTGCGCGACATGCACGGCGAACAGGTTCCGGTGGAGATTACTGCTGCCTGCTTCGACCCTGGCTACCAGTTGCTGCTGACAGGTGCCAGAACCGGTGAACTTAAGGTTCGCTTTTTAATATAAATACTTCTAATAATGGATGTATGTAGCGCTTAAATTATTTGTCAGTTTGTGGGATTGTGTAGGTGTGGAATTTCAACACTGGAATATGCATGAGAGTGATGACCATCAAGCACATGTGCGAAGTAACCGACTGCTTCTGGGTGGAGGGCAGGTGAGATACTTCACCTTTCTGTAGTTGTTTATTGTTATCACAACAGTCAATGCGTTTGGATGGATATAACACTTTAACAAATTTGAGTGTGGGAGAGCCTGCTTCGACACTAATGTATTTGTCATTTATGATTCAGAATTCTAGCAGTAGGTTGGAACCGGCACGTGGTAGAATTCGAGGATAGTGGTATGGCAATGAATGGTAAAAGCTGGGAGATACGGCACACGGACGATGTGCTGGCCTCAGCGGTGCGGCCCCCGCTGTCACTGGCCACCTCCAGCTACAACTCCGAGCTCGTGCTATGGAAGCTGGAGACTGGCCAGCCCTACAGGTAAATCCCATCACTAAAACTAAAGTTATACTAACTCATATCTAAGAATTGATATATAATCTGTGTCATTTAGGCGCTTCTCGTGCACGGAGCCGACCCTGCGCATCAAGATGCACTTCAGCAAGCGCGAGTCGATCAAGCAGCCTACTGCAGAGAAACTTTATGCAAAGGCGAAAAAACTTATAACCCTACGGAGGGTCGGGTGAGTGCCTGAGTATAAATGCATAGGTCCATACAGCTTACACACCTTACGATTTCACTGTACCTACCGTTAAAACTGCACATTACCGCACTTAATGCCACTATACAATGTAACACCCACTTTTCACTATTTATGTTATGAGTCTCATGTAATAGGGGTGAGCCTAATGACATATACTGGGCACATTTCCAGAATCCGTGCTAGGAACTACTGAGATTTTTTTTAAACCCAGTATTAGTTTGCACGACCTGGAAAACGAACCCGAGACCCATTGCCCGGCAGTCGCACTTTTTTTTTTTTTTTGAGGGGTAAAATCATCGAATGACTGCTCCCGCCTGGGTGAGGCAGGAGGAAGTGTCAGACTCTTTTTTTTTTTTTTTTTTTTAAATCTTACATTTCTTATTCTCCACGGACTCTTGTCCGTGCCCTTGTCATTCCATTACATGTTCTTTTAATAATTTACAGTCAAAATTACTTGTTACAAAAATCTTACGTGCTACATTAACCACATTTTTTTTTTTCACAAAGAAGGTTGTGTCTAAATCTAATATCTATATATACACAATACATGTTTTATTACATTTACATTAACCTTACTGGATCGGCCCACACGCGCGATGAGCGAGCCGACCTGCTCCAGCAGAAGGCGCCCGTTCACGAGCATGACGTGAGGGCCAGCAATCGATCCGATCAACCATTTCGTAGGGAACGGAGCGACCCAGTCCACAGCGCCACCGACTGTAGAACATTTAAGAATGCATGACGTCTGCTCACGCAGCAGTAAGCCGATTCCAGTAGTGCCAATGGATTTTGTCAGTCTTATTGATAAAATTTACATTACGTTACATTATATTTACTACATTTTAACATTATTAAACACACACAAATATAAAGGTATATTAATGTCACGCTTGCATCACAATTTAAGCTTACAGCGAGCCCTCCCCACCCAAAAGAGCGCCCACTACCGCCATGTCCCTGTTGCTGATAGCCATTTTCAAGTTATAGTCCAGGATCCCCCGCTCACTCTCACCCACCGCTCGTCTGATTAATTTGCTGATCGCGTCGTCACTGATATTCGTGTAGTAAACACAGCTGTTTGTGTGACGGGATATAGCTACCACGGCGTGCGATACACTGTCGTGTATCCGCTGTTTCTTCTCCGCTGTATTCACAACAACCACTGCCGCGTACGAAAGCCCCTGAGCCTCGTGTATTGTGAGTACGCGTGATCCCACACCCGATCCGTATCCCTGGTTTTTAAGGGATTCCTTTTCTACCTGAGTGTGTACCAGGTATAACGTGTTCGGAGGAGATTTGGGTATTCGCGACCCTGAGAAGCTTTTTAACTCAAGGGATCTCACACCCGACGCGGACGAATATATGCCACTGTACACAGTACTGAGAGCATATGCCACATCCATAGGGTTTCTGTGAGTGCAGAGAAGTTCTTGGCTAATAGCCGCGACGTGCGTAGGGCGGTTGTAAATGAGGGGGAAGAGGTTGTCTCGGTCAATGAAGGGAAGTTGATTTATGTCACCAATCAGCAGAACTTCCTTGGCCCGAGTTATTCGGGCCGCCATCACAATGGCCCCAAAGTGATTCATGAGAGCCTCATCAACCATGATTCGGTGGCAGCTCTCTTGCTCTTTTAATCCGTTCACTAAAATGGATGCCATTGTTCGGACTTTGGATTTGACTAATCCTCCGATTCGGCAGGATAGTTTGCCTCTGAGGTCATTTGCTGCTTCAGTTGTTGTGGTGACGATTAAATCCCTTTCCGCTTCGAATTCATTTATTATCCATGTAGTTTTGCCGCATCCCGGCACTCCATTTGTCCAGTGAAATGTCGGGGCATCCCAGCCCCCAAAGTCCACGCCGCCCGGCCCAGGCTCCGAAATGGATCCCACCATTTCCAAGATCCGATCCTCCAACATAATCCTGGTGCACCCGGCAACTACCACTAAGGAGTCTTCAGGAGGAGTTTTAAATTTCACAACTCCCCGTTTATCCGATTCCTTCTCATCCAGAGACACAAATCCTGCGGTGGCGTTGTAAGCTGCCATACTACGACTTATAGAAGCTCCTCTCAATACTCTCGATTTACTGTTGTCGTATATGACCGCCTCCGCAGCCTCGAGTCTATCATTCAGTAACAGCTCGTTACCCTGCAGATATGCCTGCAGGATCGTTTTGCAAGTTCGCAAGTTAACTTGTTTTGTTGCCTCTATTACTGCGACAAACTCGAGGAAGGCGTTTATGAGGTGGTCTCTGGGAGTGGTGGCATGGCGAAACTTCGGCGGAGAAACGTGACCCATGGCGGCTTTGGTTGGCGGTGACCTGGACTGGGCAAGATGCACCCGAGCACTGTCGCCTCCCCCGCGAGTGGAGCCGGATTCACTCCTTCTGAAAGTCGACGAAATGAGACCCGCAGCTGTACATATGGCTGATGTTATTGCCCACATGTTGGTCCGTGAAGTTTGTTTCTTTATTTGTCTTTCGGTATTTCGTTGTTGTTGCTGTAGAGCACTTTGTTCCGAATACCTGTGCTGCAGACGCTCCGAACCACTTGAAGAGCCAGCGATTGGTGAACTCTGGACCTTTTTTCTGAGGAAACTGAGGTCTTCACCCCTGTCCTCATAAACAATGACTTCATGCTGTTCTGAAGCTTGAATACAGCCCATGAGATCCGCTGTCTCTCCCCGCCGGAAAGCCACCACAGCAGCATGTGTCAGACTCTTACTGACTAAAAACCACCCCGTTCATTCTCCTGCATGTCGAGCCGGAGCCCCGGTTACCCGTTAGGTTCTCCGCGACTCCGAATCGGCATTGGCCCGATTTGGGCCCCATCTGTGGTGGTCTGATGGCTCTTTGACGCGCGCGGAACGCGCCGCGCCGTACGCTCGCACTTACGACCGCTCGGCCAAAGAGGCAGTCCAATAATACTCTCCAATAATATTATTTCGAATGCATTGTTTTCTTACTCACCTACTACAGGACTTCTCGAGACAACGTGGACTCGACAGCAGCCATCAAGAAAGCGACGGACCGGCGCGTGTCCATCGGGTCCACGCCAGGCCGTGAGCAGAACATGCGTCTCCTCGCCGTGCACGCCATGGTCTTTCTGCAGACTCGACCGCAGCATGCACACGTCGGTTAGTTCAATCTTTAAATAGTTTTTTTATGTCATTATATGAATGACATAAAAAAACTATTAATTCTCAACTTGATGCAAATATGGTGCATATATACGTGGCTTGTACCTATATTGATTTTAAAATTATCAGTAAGTCATAAGTGGTAAATATATTACAGCCATTGAGGGGTTCATTGCAATGTTCTAGCTTCTCTAGTACTCGCTGTGGAGAATGGTCAATTGCAATGCTGGTCGGATCACTCGGCGGGCGGCTACCAGAGCTCGTTCCAGGCCGTCCACTCGTCGGGTGACTACGTGTCCTGTTTGGCCACAGATGTCGCTAATGAGTTCCTATTCACCGGTACCACACAGGGATACATTAAAGTGTGGCTGATGACTAATTATCTCACAAACACAACGGTTAGTATCTCGATTACTTACGTACTTTATGACACCTTAATGAAAATTTGTAATAGATACTGTTTTACAATAATTGACATAATGTAAACTGTGTAAAGTAGATGAATGACAGTTTTCTTGACTAAATTATCCGACAAGAACGGCTTAAGGTACCTCGGGACACAGTGATGACAACATTCCTATGTTCTAAATTATTGATCCCAATTTCATTGCTTCCTTTGGAGAGTTCATCCGCACATCCATACGTTTCTCGAGAAACTTTCTGTCTCGCACTATAAAACTGTGGAATGAACCAAGAATGTACTCCATATTACCGAACTGATACGAGCTCCAATAAAGAGTGCACTAGCTATCTTTAAAAGGCTGGCAAAGCATGTGTCCATCTTCTGGTGTTGCTGGTGTTCATAGGCTACATTAATCACTACCAGATGATCAGTTTGCTCAACTGACCTCCACCGTACCCCACCCCATAAAAAATGGAATAATTTTAGAAATTTAATGGAAGTATAAATTATGTATTTACATGACGAAGGAACACATCAACATGCCGCGGCTCCGTCTGATGTTCCCGTTCCTGTGGCGTGACCGCATCGAGGGTCGCGCCAAGCGCAGTGTGCGGGACCAGCCCAAGCCGCTGCTACTGAACAGCTATCGCGCACACCTCCGCTGTGTTACCTCCATTGCTTACATGGACGAATATAAACTTTTCTTCAGGTAAGGAGCACAAAAAATACCAGAAGTAACCGCCCTCTTGATTACGCGAGACAATCTATATGTCGCATTGTCGCAGGAGTATTGCAAAATCCACCGTATTATAAAATGGTTAGCCGTTAAGTAAACCAGGGTTGTTTCATAACCGAAGGCTGGGCTCGCTGTCATTGCAGCAGTAAGTCCCCTCTTTGAGAAGTGGCTTGAGAGACGCTACGGCGTCCTCACCTACCGCCTGATGCAGGTGCTTACCGGACACGGAAGTTTCGGTAGGTTCCTGTTTCGGATTGGGTGGGAGGAAACGCCCGGGTGTCATCACTGCGAGGATCGCCCGAAGGACACGGTGGAGCATATTGTGGCAGTGTGTCCTGCGTGGACTGAGCACCGCCGTGTCCTCAGGAATGTGATCGGCGACGGCGACCTCTCGCGTCCGACTCTGGTTCAGACCATGGTACGGAGCGAGGGGGACTGGTATGCCGTCTCCTCCTTCTGCGAAGCAGTCATGCTAGCTAAGGAGGATGCGGAGCGCGTGAGGGAACGAACCTCCTCACGACCCGGCCGCGAGAGACACTCCGGCCGTCGGGGATCGCGAGACGATCTCCGGCCACCGTAAGCGCGGGCCTGCGGACGGCGAGCACGGGTGACTCGCCGCCCGACAAGAACCAGGCCCGAGCGTACGGCGCGTCGCGTTCCGCGCGCGCCTTAAAGAGCCATCAGAGCACCACAGATGGGGCCCAATAGGGCTGATGGCGATACGGAGCCGCGGAAGACTTAACGGGTTGCCGGGGTTGCGGCTCGAAGTGCAGGAGTAGGAACGGGGTGGTTTTTAGTCAGTGAGAGTCTGACACTCCCTCTCGCCTCACCCGGGCGGGAGACGTCATTAATTGATTTTCCCCCCCTCAAAAAAAAGGGTTGTTTCATAATTCAACAGCTGAACGACTAGCCAAATTGAATACGGCTGAGTCAAAATCCGCCACACAGTTTTCGGCGCTATGTGTTATTCAATATAGCTAGCCGGAAGGTAACACAGTGGCCATTATACTTCTGGTCGTCAATTTATAGTGATAAAATTGGCATTACATTTTACAACACCATCGGGTGCTGTTAAAATAGGTTACCCACCAGATGGTGGGTACCTAGATAGGTTAGTCGTTAGTCGGCGCCATAAGTTCTAAACAAAATTATTCTTAAAACCTAATACATACATAATATTAAGCTGTTTTTAGAATTTTGTGATGACTAAGTAAGTTATGTCATTTTGATGCGCCTGCCACACACTCGACGGTCGGTATGGGAAGTTACGAGGAAAGGAGGCAGAGACATAGTGTGGCAACATTACTCGTCATGCTCCTCGTCCTGCCCACTGCACATTTTGTCGGATTTGCGCGCGAGTCAATGGACCGGCAATAGGAGCGTCGCGACTGATTGCGCGAGCAGAGCAGTGTGTGGGCAGAGAGGGCAACATTGTGGCAAATCCCGGCATCGCGAGGAGCATAGCGCTAAGCAGCGCAAGGAGCATAGTCTGGCAGGCGCATAAGGTACCGACTTCTCCGCGGAAGGCCTCACGGGTTGCCGGGGCTCCGACTTGAACAGGAGGAGTAAGAACGGAGTGGTTTTTAGTCAATAAGGGTCTGACACTCCCTCTCGGTTCACCCAGGCGGGACTTCTCCCGCCTTCCAATTGGATGATTATCCTCCTCCTCCCTCAAAAAAAACGTACCGACTTCTATCCTATCAGTGGGTGGGTACACTATCAATACTATGAATAGTATTTTTTTGCATTTTAATTGTTACTCTTTGTTTGTTATTAATTTTTTATTTTTTGAAGTCGGTTTTGTAAACGCAGTTTTTATTATATCATTTTTATTAGTTAAAAACTACATAGACCCGTTTTCCCACATATAATCCACATAGGTCTAATCAATACAAATTATACAAGCCCAAACACAAGGTATAGTTACTGCAAACCGTTCAGGACTTCCCTCAACTGTCTGTCAGATCGACTACAGACCCTTATCAAATTGTAGTGTTTAAAAATCCTTATTGAAAACATAAGACGCATTACTTTCAGTTCTGTTATGAGTCCCATTCTCATTCTTTGTAATAGGGCTAAACCTATAATAATTCCAGACTGTAGCTATACTATTACTGAGCAATAAGAGATCTATCAATCATACAGCGGCAGTTCAGACTACAGTGTTCGAGTGTGGCGTCTGTCAGGCGAGTACCTGCAGACACTGGGGAGCTTCCTGCCGTGGACCCTGGAGGTGACGCGCTTCCCGCCCGACGTGAAGAAGGTCGCCAGCTTCACCACGTTCAAGGTGAGCGTCAGCCGGTGGCAACACGCCGCGTCACAATGTGAGGAGGGCGGCAGTGAACCAGTGCGTGATGTCTGCAGGTGTGGCGCAGTGGCCAAGTGTCGCGCTACGTGCCGGGGCAGAAGGTGGTGGACAAGCTGCACGATATCACAGTGCACGAGCTCAAGACCAAGTCCTACGGCGAGGCACCCAACGAGCCGTTGCTTGGAAATTATTTCTCGCTTCCACGAAGACCAGACCCGATAGATATCATCAAACTCGACACCTCGTTAGCTACGGTCAGTACCTTTATTATAAGCTAACCACAGTTAACAATGCAATTACTTGATACACATTTATTCAATGCCATATTTCGATTCAGATCCCGTTGTACGCACACCTTCGCATGGCTTCGACACAACCAGTGCGGCGGCCACCTACTCCCGAGCTGGTGCGTGAGACGCGGCTGCGACACGCCAAGACAAAGAAGACCCATTTTGGTTCTAGTCTGACTAGTCAAGGCCCACCGCAGCCTATTTCTTCTAAATCCGAAGAAAAACGTTCTTCGATGAAGGACACACAATAAGGCACACCGTCGCTATACTAAATGAGAAAGTGTAAGCACAAATATAGTTCACACATTTTGGACAATACGATGCTTGTGTTATCTTGATGTTCTATAAGATTTATTTCAACTGTCAGTCAATTATGATACGTGGACAAGAAGAAAAAGCAATATTTTTTTAAAGGTGGGAAGTCATCGAATTACTTCTCCCACCTGGGTGAGGCGGGAGGGAGTGTCAGACTCTTACTGACTAAAAACCACCCCGTTCCTACTCCTGCACTTCCGAGCCGGAGCCCCAGTAACCCGTTAGATTCTCCGCGGCAAGAAAAAGTATACTGTGTTGAAATCATAATATTTTTACCACATAAAATATCACTTTTTCCTTCTATCACATCAGCCAGTTGAATGACTGAGCTTTATCTTACATACAAATACAACCCAAGGTACATGGCAGAACCACCGACTGCGCTCGACATAGGATTTTAGCTCTGTTCATGATAATCTTGTTATAGTTTGTGCTGGTCCATGAGAGGTCGACATTAACCCATTTGGATCTGCCGTCCCCATACGGGGACAGGTCTTCTTTTACCCGTTGGTTATTCATTTTTTTAGCTATCTTCAATTTTCATTAGTATTTTTTATGAGGAGTAGTGTACTTTCCTAAAATTATTAGAAGTTTTGACAAATTGCTACAAAAAGGGGGTCATATTGACAATTTTATCAAGAGGAAGTGAAATGGGAATTATTATCGAAAGCAGAGCCGTTTTATAGTATGTTACTATGAAGAATTATAAAACTTTTTTGTGATTATTGCTTGCTTATAGTGTCATTTAAAACAATATTGAAGAATATCCTTATACTTTCAATTCCGCTTAGGGGAAAGTTAGAAAATATTATGATGTCCCCGTTTGGGGACAATGGGCACATCTGTAGTTTATTTTTAAAACATTTATACCTGATTTGTATTTTGTTTTCCAATTTATAAAGGTCACCTATAGGCTAAACTTAGTTATAGCTAATACTTGGTGACTACATACGCTAATTCACGAAAAGCATCACCAATCCTATATCAAGTCTTATCTTTACGCGTTCATATTTAAAATCTGATGGGCATCAAGATCGACGATGCAGAACTCCATCTACAGTACCAGGCGTCGCATCCGATATCAGAATTCAGCGGTAGGGGGCATTTCCTCCAGCTGTATTCTGGTGTCGCCACAGCGAGGTCCACCCAGAGGATAGAGTAGCATTATGCCCTGTATACATTGAGCACCACCGTCTCCTCCGGGAAGTGATCGATGACGATAATCTTCAACGTCCAGCTTTGGTTCTGGTGGTGCGGAGCGAGGGGGGAACTGGAAAACCATCGCTTTCTGCGAAGCAGTCATAGTAGCAAGAACAGATCGCCGCCCAGAACCAGACCTGAACCTATAAGGCGCGTGGCGTTACGCGCGCGCTTCAAAGTGCTATCAGACCGCCTTAGATCGAGATGGCTCAGTAGGACAGATGCCCGACCACTATGAATAACCTAGTGGGTCACCGGGGCTTCGGCTTGAAGCAGAATTAGGAACGTGTTGGTTTTAGCCAGTAAGAGCCCCCAGATGAAAAACGCAATGCATGATTTTTACCCGCAAAAAAAAATACAGGCGCGTCACATCAAATTGATTTAGACATTTTCCGCAGAGATTTAGTTAATATCTGTTCCGACACGCAATTCTTCATAAAAAAACTGTGATATCAATGCAAATAATGCGTTAGAACCTTATGTGTCGAAAACAGTTACTACTTCGAAAAGTACTACACATGAGCCCATTGTCCCCAATCAAGGACGGCATTTTTTTTAATACTTCTAAATATATTTTTTGAATTTTTTTTGCTGATATTAGTTTGTGGGCGTCATTTCATTGTGTTAATAAAGTTTGTTTTATTAAATTATGTGTAGTTTGCATTTGGTCCCAAATGGGTTAACTTATGTTCTTCGTTATGGAAGACTCGGGTGCGAGAGGGGAGCACGTTACTTTCTGTTTGATGCTGGTATATCGCGTTAGACGCTAGTGACGTTTCGCTCGTTGTTATCGACATACAAGTTGTAATTATATAAGTGTTTCTTAATCTTATATTGACTTTAGTATGCCTACCTACCTACTTGAAAGTTTAGTATTTATTTATTGTTTGTATAATTAATTATTGTTACTTTGTATACAAACGCAAACCTGTGCGTTTTCTAAACGTGATTTATTGAATTATTATTATTATTATTCTAATAATTGACTTCTGATAACTTTAGTCCGATAACTTAATATTTCAGTCATTGTTTGTATTTGAAATACGATTTATATTAATTTATTTTTACTTTAATTTATAACACTAAATAAACTGAATTTTAAGTACTTAATTGAAATCTTTTTATTCTTTTTAAATCAGGTACCCTGACAAGGTTTGATTATAGGTAGTCCTTCCGTTTGTTATATGATGGGTATAGTGATGTGATACCATTGTGACAGTGTCTCTAATATTTGACATTTATTTTCCTCAGGTTTGTTACTCAATCACGTCAAAACGACTGAAGGGATTGGGATGAAATTTGGAACATGGATTCTAGATCATAATCTGATCTAGAATAAGACTAAGCTACTTTTTATCACACGGAGACACGGGCGAAACCGCGCCGGTAAAAGCTAGTATTTTAATTTTAATAGTAAAACTAGCTTTTACCCGCGGCTTCGCTCGCGTCACAGAAGGATAAAAAGTAGCCTATGTGACATTATACCAATACTTCGCCATCGCCATCTATACCAATAATTTTGTTTTCCCTCGGGAATATCAAATTTTTCCGGAATAAAAAGTACCCTGTTATTCGCGGCGTGGCAAATTTAATTGATTATAATTATGTTCAAATACTCAAACGTTACTCCATTTTAAGTCGCGCTTAAGTATAGTTCTGTCACTACAAATTCTTTGTAAAATGACAGAGATGGCACAATGGATATTTAAGTACAATTTAAAATGGAGTAATCTTTCAGTATTCGGGTGTGATTCTTGTATGTGGATTCTATCAGTTAGATAATTAAATCGACATTTTTTATCGACATTTTTGCACAAATTTATCAACCACCACATCTCTACTCTAGTGATACTTCATTTCAAATACCAAACGTCATTACAATAACCATCAGATGGCAAAAAGATTACAGATAATTTATTTATTAAATAGTTAATTAAAAATAATTATTTACAGATAGGTATAAATAGTAAGCAATAATATCTAAACTATAATAATTAAAGCTAAAGCTAAACTATATTAAAGTATTAATATACTGACAATATCTATCTAAATTTATATTAAAAATGTAATTAAAGCTAACTGGAAGATCGAACACGACCGGGGCGGAGCTTGTCGACAACGTGTTTAATTTGCCTACTTTTCGAGCACCGAGCCCTATGCAATAAATCTTCAATGAGAAACAATTGGTCGCAGTCTACGGGCAGGCGGTTCCCGTCGACGTTGACCCGCAGCAGGCCGGGCGCGGCGCGCGGGCCCAGCCACTGCTGGTGCGCCAGCGCCTCGTACAGCGCGCCCAGGCTGGAGTACTCCAGGTTGTTGTAGGACAGGTTGAGCCAGCACAGGCTGGTGTTGCCGATGCAGTACGTGTGGTCGCTGCGCGTCACCGTCTGCTCGACACTGAAGGGGTCTGTGAACACGCCCACCAGCTCGTTTGCCAAGGCCTCCGCTTTCTGGTACAAGGCGTTGCTGAACTGCGACGCCTTCACGCTGTACCTCCTCTGCGGGGCTTGTAATGTCGGCCGCCGCCTCATCGCCCGACCTTCGTCGTGATTTCTCTCCAGAATCAACTGTCTCACACATTTGTCGTACACTTCGCTCTTCAATTTTAGATATTCGAGGAACCGCAATCTCTTTTTAATAATTTCGTCGGCCGTCAAAGGAAATTCCGTGAGAGTCTCAAATATACTAATGGCTCCCACGTCGGAGATGACGTTGCCCGATAGATTGAGGCACCGCAGGGTACGGTTACTGCGCAGCGCGTCGGCCAGCGCGGCGGCGCCGGCGTCCCCGACGCGGTTGGCGACCAGTAGCAGCACGGCCAGCGAGCTGGCGGCGGGCCGCGGGTACTGCAGGTGCGTGGCCAGCCGCGCAGTGTCCTCGTCGTCCAGGTCGCAGCGCGCCAGCGACAGATAGCGCAAGCTGTTAGGGCTGGCCAGGAGCACCTCGTAGTTTCGCCCCTTCACGGGCGAGTCGTCTAGACAAATCTCGGTGAGATTCACGTTGCTCAAGAACTTTGAGAATTCATACAATGCGATTGCATCTAGTGTTGCCCAGCGGATTGTCAGTCTGGACAAGAAGTCATGATGAGGCACACTCCAGCCTATGACCTGAATGAGCATGCGCGGGATAGTGACACAACGCCGGAAGGCGATCTCCACCAGGTTGTCAGCCGAGTCCATGACGGCGTGCACCAGCACCACGCCGTCCTCCAGCTCGGCGGCGGCGGGCGCGCGGGCCCCTGCCAGCTCGAGCCCGGCGGCGGTGGGCGCGCGGGCCCCTGCCAACCCGAGCCCGGCGGCGGTGGGCGCGCGGGCCCCTGCCAACCCGAGCCCGGCGGCGGTGGGCGCGCGGGCCCCTGCCAACCCGGAGCCCGACGGCTCCACCAGCGCGCGCCGCGTGCTGTGTGTGCCGAGGTGGCGCTGAGACAGCCCCGTCCGTTTATTCTTCTTTTTATCATCTAATCCATAGTATTGGCCTGCAATATACACAACACATACACGTTAACCTTTTGAACGCCAGAGCAAAAATACATGAACCTGCCCTCAACGCCAAGCCACAAATTCCGCGCAATTTTCTACAAAAGAAATAGGGATTCCAATGGGGAATCAAATCGTTGATTTCGTGTTTCCATTTCCGCTTTTTCTGTCATGTATTTGTGTCGTTGGCGTCCTGGGACAGTGTTCGCTGGTCACGTATTTGTGACATTGGCGCTCAAAAGGTCTAGTCAAGCAGATAGGTACTAAATAATATAATTTGTGTAATAGATATTTACTGTATAGTGAAGGATAACCTTCAAATAATAGTGTGGGTAGTGAACTGTTTTACGATCACTCACAGCTCATTAGTCTTGGTGTGTACTATTCCAAATTGAACGTACCTTGACATTCGACGTTGACTCTGACTTCGAAAGATGCTTCGAGTTGACCACACGCGTACGGTACGAAGGTGACGAACTCCGGCGGCACGGGGCGCCACGCGCGGGACCCCGCACGCTCCTCGTACATGCCCAAAGTATATACGCTTCACTTTGATTTGTTTCGTTTATATACAAATAGTATTTTAGTAATTGATAAGATCGTAGATACAAGAAATAGATCTTCTCCTAGAATTGATTGCTTTTTGAGTTATAGATGACAGTTCAAACCTTATTTTTTAGTTACCTTGATTTCTTAGATACCAGTTGCAAGACGTACGAGCATGGGAACTCGTGCGTAAAAGGAACTAAATGTCGTAAGAACTATCGTATAGTAATCGTATCGAAACTTGGAACATTTTGACACAAATTGGAAGCACGAACGATCCAAAGACTATAATAAGTATAGGGGAACGATCTTTTGACTTAGAATTTACCGGTGATAAAGGTTTGATGGTAAGCGACCAGCGCCGCCCATGGACACCCGCAACACCAGTGGAAATGAAACACAGGTGCGTTGCCGGCCAAGGAATACCTACGCTCTTTTGTTCGACGTCCTTGCACCATATGTGGCTTGGAAAACCACAGTTAAGTTTGGTGGTGCTGTGCTGTGGGTATGTGAAATTGTTTGTCGAGGCACCGTTCATTAAAGAAAATAAAAGAATCGTTGGTGTTGAAAATCTTCAGACACTGAAAATGTCACCATAGGGAAAGATGAAGGTATCACGTAACTTTATGTGCCCCTCTTGTACATACATAGGAAAATTTAAAATTAATCCTTACTATTATAAATCGGAAAGTGAGTTTGTTTGTTCCGCTTTCACGCCGCAACTTCTAAACCGATTGCTTTGAATTTTTGCAGGCGTAAAGTTAGAAGTCCGGAATATAAATAATAGGGTACTTTTCATCCCGGAAAATTTTGATATTCCCGAGGGAAAACAAAAGAATTGGTATAGATGGCGCTGTGTGTATTGGTATATGTCACATAGGCTACTTTTATCCTTTTGTGACGCGAGCGAAGCCGCGGGTAAAAGCTAGTACAATAATAAACAGAAACATGTCTAAACGTATTTATTGCCGCAAAATTAGATTATCCGAAAATATACAGAACAAGTGTGATTGTTTGTACCGCGAGGATTTTATCGGCGGCTCGCTCAGTTGGTAGAGTCCCGCTTGAGTCCGCTGAGCACGATGTATGGAGACTGAGTCTCGCGCTGCTTGTCCTGTAACATCTGCAGGGTGCCTAGAGGGGTGTCCGTCGAACTCATCTTCTTCATCAACTGAAATTCAAAATTTAATCAAAATAGTTTAACGACTAGCATTTCGTTTGTGGCTGTCTGTGTGGATTCCTGAAAGGTTTTGTCTAAACATGCTTCTGACGCTGTAGGAAATATGAGATAAAAGTTACCTATGTGAATTCCGCAAAAGTTAGTTGGTGCAAGAATGTTCAAAATTAGTGAAGTTCTTTGATAGCTTTGTCAGTGTAAATGAATACACAAAAATGTTCTATTTAACATAAGAGTGAATTGTTTTGTTAATGATTCGCGTTCGTAATATTATTATTTGTAATTATGTTCGGACTTACCCCTTCCTGCACGGCTTTCTTGATCCTCTTTTCCTGCTTGTTCTTGCCGGGTCCCTTCCCGTGGAACTTGTGTGAGAGGTACCGGAATGCCTCCTTGGGACAGAGTGGTCGTCCGTCGTCGTCCACATACTCCAGTTTGATGTTGGGTCTGAAGTTGTTCTTCTCGCGGAAGTCCTGCAGCGGGCCCGAGTGACCGCCTCGCTCACGACGCCCGTACTTGTCGTCCTCCCTGGGGGACGAGATAATTTATTGCTTTATGAGGTCTGTATTTATTATTTACAGGAAAATGTTACAGAATAATACTGGTTGTCGGTACGAGAGTGACGAGACGGTAGTCAAGATGTAGTCTCACCCGTAGGTCTTGTCCTCGATGGAGTAGTGCCTGGCGGTGAGCAGATGCTTGGCGGCGGAGGCGGGCTGCGGCGCGGCGCCGGCCCGCTCGAGGTAGCCCTTGCTGAGCGCCAGCTGCAGCGCGCCCCACACGCCGGCGCCCAGGCGGGGCTCCGCCTCCAGCCCCACGTGCGACCCTGCACGCACTCACCACATCTATACTCTGTTCTTTACAATTTATTTTTCAGCTTAAGATTCAATGTCTCAACATCAACAAAAGAATTCTATGACAAGTACATACATATGATTATTTGTATATGCCTCTTGCGCACAACATAAAACTCTATTCCTTCTAAATAAACAGTTATTGCATTTGCAGTGGATATATTGTCACCCCAGTCACTCATAAGCCCAAACAGTACACAGAACCCAGTACCTGCAGCGAGGTCAGCAGGTTTCTCATTGTCTACATCGACCCGGCTCCACGCGCCCGCAGTACTGTCTGCCTCGGCCTCCACCTCCATGTCCTCGCGCTCGAAGTCCTGCACATAACGATAATAATAACTTAATGACACCTCTACTTATTACTTTAAAGATTAAAAGACGAGATGTTGTTATATGGAAATATAAACATGTAGCATGGTAAGCGGTATTAATGAATCATTACCATGATCTCAGCGTGATGGTCCCTGTTCCCTGCCAGTCCGTATGTGGGTATATCTCCTAGAGTGCGACAAAACTCTGCAGTGGCGTCCAGTACCATGGCGCTGCCCTCCTCCTCTTGAGGCTCCTCCTCCTTCACTCGCTCCAGGATCTCTTCTACCTGCAGAATAAATCATTTAAGTTAACATTGTTGTTCTCACTCATTCATATAAACTTCTAAAATGTGTTATTGATGCATGACGCATGAAGCCTGAACCTCCAGGCTGGCTCAAAAGTACCCAAGTTACGCTTGAACAAACTGACAAATGTAAGTATCTTAACTAACTTGTGTAATGTGATATGTGCAGTATCAAAGTGTTATAACGATATAAGGAGTATTATTGACCTTGGGCAGTTTGTACTGCGCCTCCTCAGCTTTCTCGGCCTGTCGCAGGCGGCGCGCGCGGGCCAGCGCGGCCTGCAGCTCGGTGTCGGGCTCGGCCTCGTCCTCGTCCACCGCCAGCGGCTGCGCGAGCAGCTCCGTCTTTACTTCTGCAGACATATTACATCTTAGCTTGTGACACCGTACGTTCTACACTATATTTATAACATAAAGAAAGTACCTCGTTATCACAAGAGGGACTTCCTTCGGAACGAATGGAAAATGAAATAATACATTTGTTGCTAAAAGCAGGCCACAACGTACTTGTTACTCCTCTGGTGTTGTCAATGCACGTAGGCGACGTCCATTATTTACCATCCATCTGTTATGTGCCACCATATCCCTTAAAGACCACAAATAGCACAAGTACACAGCTACATACCTGTGTCGTCTGTATCGAGCGGTGCGGTGGCCGCGTCATAGTCTTCCACGTCGATAGGTTCCTGTTTCGGTTTCTTGCGTATCTTGCCCTACACAGAAACACTCTATTAATACACAGAAATAGTCTACAAAATTAGTTTATCTTACAATGAACGAAAGAATTAGCTCTTTCATCTTACTTATGTCTATCACAATAATATACCTTTCTCTTGGTCTTCTTGAACTTGGCCTGTAACTCGTGTTCGTCCATATAGTCGGAGGCCAGTTGCAGCGCAGGTAGTTGCAGGCTTTCCAGCCTCTTGTCGCCACCGCCTTGGAGACGATCCTGGCGCTGTGACAACAAGAAAAGCATACTTAAACAACATTACTACTACGTTACTTGAAGAGAATGTTATTACAAAACTTCGAAACCCGTTTGCAGTAAGTACCTACAAATAGATACATATTATAAAACAAAGTAGAATATAGTATGAATATACAGAAAATGAGAACTAACCATCATATCCCTAAACTTCTTGGCTTCGAGCACGTCCTCGTCTCCAATGAAGAAGCCCTTGGTCTTAGCATCCTTCCCCTTGTTGATCTCGTCGTCATACTTGGCCAGCACGGGCCGCTCGAAGCCCAGCGCCGCAGCTTCCAAGTCCGCCTCGTCGTCGTATGCGCGGTAACCGGCCTTCGCCTTCTTCGCTTCCAATAGATTCTGGAAATTTATTAAAATTAATTTACATAAATATTGCTTCACACCATAATGGTTAATGTATTAATATTATAAATGCGAAAATTTTAATGTTTGTGTGTAACTCCTTCATGTCAAAACGGCTGAAGGGATCGGGATGATTTTTGGAACAGGAGTAGATAATGGTCAGGAATACACATCATGGAGTTC